AATTAATATAAGAAATGAGATAGTGTGAAATCGAATACTCTTAGAATTAATAAAAGAAATAAAATATAAAATTTAAAAGAACAGACTTAGAAATATCATGATTATATGATTAGATTTATCAATTTTATTTGCTAGCATTATCTAACATAAATGTATTAGTTGTTCTTGTACCTATATTAAATTTCTTCTCAAAATTACTTCGATATTCATATAATCTATTTCAGCTAGAATGATAGTGCTAAATCAGAGTTATAATAAGTGAAATTAAGTGATACATTCAAATTTTTTTATTTTTGAGCGAAGATATCTCAGTAACTATCAAGCCAAAATTTGATGAATTTTTTTTTATTTAAATTCTACGAATCTGTAGAATTCAAATAAAAAAAAGTTTATCAAATTTTGACCCAGTGGTTAAGATACCTTCGTTCAAACATTGGAAAAATTTTGGCGCAGCTTCTACTTTTATAAGCGTTGAGTTTTTTAAAAATTCAAACAAAAATATCCTAACAATCACAAGCCAAATACAATAAACTTCTTTTATTTGAATTCTACAGATTCTTAGAATTCAGATAAAAAAAAGTTCATCAGATTTGGTTTGGTGAGTGTCAAGATATCTTCGCTCAAAGAATAAAGAATTTTGATAGACATTTTGAGTTTTTTTTAAGATTTTGGGTGAAGATATCTCAGCAATCACCTGGCAAATTCAATGAACTTTTTTTTTTTATTTGAATTCTATGAATGCATAGAATTCAAATAAAAAAGTTTATCGAATTTGATTTAGTAGTTGTCAAGATATCTTCGTACAAAGTTCGACAAAACTTTAATATGTATAGAGGGTATAAATAGCAGCAAATTAGGGAGGTATGAATAGCAATTCCCTAAATTTAAAAATATTGATAACATTAATGCTAGAGATAGTAAAGACAAAATAGAAGTATTGGTATATATAGCAATAAAACAAATATATTTTACTTTACACATATATACTGTATATTATATACGTATATATTGTTATACGTATTAATTGATAATTAAATATGCATAGAATAGTTACACAAATACGTATTGTGTACCCACATGATTAATGATCGACAAAACCTGGCACAGAATTTTTTTGTGCATATTATACATAATGCTCTTTAAAAAAACAGAAACAGAAAGAATAAAAATAAGAAAAGTATAAATGAAGGCCTAATTTTAAAAATAACTTAAGACAGACTAGCACAACTTTTAAGCACAAAGACAAGACAACAATTTGTAAACATATTAGCAAAAACAGACTGAAACACTTTTTATAACCAAGTTTAAAGAACATAATATAAAAAAATCAATGAATAGAAAAAAAATAGAAATAACTAGCAGAATAAAAAAAAGAAATTAGAAAAAGAAAAAGAATTCAAGCAAAAAAAAAAAGCTAGTTAGCAAAAAATAAAAAAAATAAAGAAGAAAACAAAAAAAAAAAAATAAATTAAAGATGAAACTAAAAAGACAATTTTGAGGCTTGTTGTGAAAGAAAAAAGGTCTTTTTATTATAGACTTTAAGTAGTTAGACAAGTAGCTTACTTCTGCTTAAAGTAATATAACAGATTGCATTTAAGCACTATTAGGATGGTTGGATAATACTAGGCTTAGTTGTTAGATATATTTATGTAATTATAATAGTAATTTCAAGAATCTTAATAAAGTACTAGCATGACTGCTTAAGTTAAAAAAAAAATAAAAAAACTATATATATAGTACAATAATGATAAATTATTAATTTTTAACTTATAAACTTTGTATTCTATTTATTATTATAAACTTTTTTTACAAAATAATATATATAACTGTATAATTTATATTTACTATTTTTAATTTTATATTTATAATTTAAATATTGCCAAGTAAAAATTTAACATTTTAAAAATAGATTTCTATAAATAATGAAATATAAAATTTGAAATAATTTGATTTGAATAATAAATTATACTGTTTTTTTGATCACACAGTAGTCTTATTTAAAGTTTATATTCTATTATATATAGCAATTTATTTTTAAAATATTAAGTTTTTACTTAACAGTACTTATTTTAAATTTTATCTAACTAGATTACTAAAACTTTATTATAAATATTTTTTTTTGTTATTAAGGTCATACTTGTGATAATACTTTATTGACTTATATCGAGTTAGCTATTACAACTATTTTTTACAGAGATGAAAGTACAACTAGTCATATATATAACTTTTGGTTACTTATTTAAGTAGTCCACTCTAAGGTTCTATACTAGATGCTGTACCTATAATCTACTAGGAGATTATCAATTTTAAACCCTCTGATCATCCACTCTATTATATTGAAATCTCCAACTAACCTCCTATATATACCTAACTGGTATACTATCTGAGCAGTATGGTTACCTACTCTTTTTGTACTGGTTCCTAGATTGTTATATATTTCAGAATACATCACCTGCCAGTAAGATGCAAGAGGTCCCTTGTTGTTAACTATCTACCTACTTTTAGAACACTAACATGAGTTATCTTTACAGAGTTCACTCAGACCCTAGTACTAACTTTAGAGCATATCTCTAGTACTTTTAGTATACCTCTGCTTTGAACCTAGACTCCCAATCCAGATAGTTTGGAAGGACTGTAACCTGTTCTTAGTATATTGAGACTGACCCAATTTCCTTTTTCTCTGGTTCAAAATCCAATAGTCTGGTTGGTAGTATCCTTTACCTAGATTCTTGCTTACCTAAATCTTTCATATTGATATCTATTTCCTGGGTCTAGTCTTTACAGTAATACTGTTAAAGATCTGTGTTACCTCTCTGCTCAGAATTTCCAAGTAGGCTCCAGCTTTCTAGTTTTACAGATTTACATGACCTGAGGACTTATTTTAGATTTGCACCACCTGATACCAGTTTGTATTCCTCTATGTAACAGGTTACACAGATGCTCTAGACCTGCCAGTCATGCTGGTGTGATTATAGTTACAGGTATCCTATCTCAACTGATTGACAAAATGCTGTTACTGTAATACCATCTTATATTACATAGATGATTATCCAAATTTCATTGTTGGTGGGTTTTGAACTCACTACCTACCACTTGAGAATATGACAACTTATCCACTTCACTAAGTCACCACACCCTATAAATATTTTAAATATTAGTTAAATTATTAAAGAAATCCATTTGATTACATTATAATAAAATATAGTTTTAAGTTAGAATTCCTTAATGCACTTATTGATATCCTTATTTCTACTTGTCTATTCTTGTATTGTCTTCTAAAAATTACATATTTGACATCAAATATAAAATATGTTATATTGCTTGCAATTTGCACATGTCTTATTATCTTTATTTCTTTTAAAACCAAATTTACAAATACCAATATATATTTATTGTTGTAATGTTTTGAACTATAAATACTTATATCCTATAAGTGATTCATTACTTACTATATTAAATATATTAGAAATGAATGTAATAAGTGCATTATGAATGAATATAATGAGTACAGAAATAAATGTAATAAGTGTATAAACTATATAATGTTTGGAGTAAAATTTGTTTGTGTGAAATCTTAAGTTTAATTGGTCCACATGATTTATTTATTAAATTTTGATTATTTTTCACACATAAATTCATCATGCATATAGATCATCAGATGTACAAGATTTGTAATAATTTGAATGCAAAAATTGCAAATGTAAACAATAGTAAAAGCAAGAATTTTAGACTTAAAAATTAATAACCCAATACAGATTAATTTGTTTATTTATCTGATAATTAACATTTTCATTCTTTTTCATAGAATTTTTTATTAGGTTGATTAAATATAATCAATAATCGTCAAAGGCAATAGCAATGTAATTTTTTGGATAACCTAATAACCTGATAATTTATTAAATGATGCCTTGTAAACTTTTGTTTGATTAGCTAATGCGAGTTAATTTCCTATAGTTTATGTTAAATGTTTCACAATATATTAATGACTTTTTGTTAACTACTATATTTGCTTTCGTTCCTGGTTTCTAGCGTGACTGCGTCTTATTTATAATTGATGTTCGAAAATTAATGTTGCATCTATTGATATGCACATCGCTCTCAATTTGGTAAATGTCATATGATTTGAAGTCGACTCAGAGTCGACTTTAAACGACTAGACTCTAGCCAACTCGAAAACCGAGTTGATTAACATCCCTAGTGTAGGAAGAACGTAAATTACACCAATGATTACCGTCTAAAAAGAGCATCGGCTGTGGTTTGGAGGAACATAAATTACACTAATGATTACCGTCTAAAAAGAGCATCGGCTGTGGTTTGGAGGAACATAAATTACACTTATGATTCAGGTCATTTGAAGGTCTAATAAAGGCATCTATGTAACATTTGTTCGTAACTTTGGCATTCATTAAAACCGACTTAAACAAACTTTTTTTATGAAATTTTCGTCCACTCTAATATGTGCGTATTTATTAATGTTAGAGTTAACAATGTTTTCTTTTGACGTGATAAAATGACGATAACTTATTAATTACTTGTGAAATAGTTTTGAGCTCAATTTATTGCATGTCTGGTGAAGATTTATATGTTTGATTTTAAAATAACTGTTTGATTACTGGGTCAATTAATATTACGTATAATAAGGTTTCATTGAAATAAGAGTTTCCTTTAAAAATCGATGATTTAATGTAAATTGATTCTTACATAAAATCGTTAATAGAATGCAAATATTTTTTCAACTATTTATTTGAAAATTTTTACTTGGTTCTTCGAAAATCCGACTTAAAGGTAATTTTTAACGGGAAAGGGCTAAATCTAAAAAAAAACTCAAACTTTGTATAACAGGGTCTTAAAAATGGGACTCTACCACCCTACTTGCTAAGAATGTTGATCTTAATAAAAATATATCGATCGTAAGAATAAAGTCTAGTTCATTAGTGCAGAGTATTAAAGGGCGGATATATGTTTTATACACTTTAAATTATTGATCAAAATGAAAGATTTTAAAAGGCTGGCCTTTTGCGTCTACGTGATTTATTTTGAGAATCCTGAGAGGTAGACGATATTGGTTTCTTACGCCTATGTGACTTATTTTGAGAATCCTGTGGTTAAAAAAGTTGGTGGAAACTGTTTTACTACTGCTCTACGGTTTGCTAATCCAACCCCCTTTAAATCAAGCGGGATCTCTTGCACTAATTTTATTGTTCTTTGGATTCTCAACTAAAAATATACAAAAAATTAGGTTAAGTTCGATCACAGAAGTATGACAAAAAGCACGAACAACCTTGGACATCCACACAGCGCCAATTAATTCTAAGGCCAATGCAAAAGATTCAATATCTTCAGGGATCTCAAAGAGGTCACTTTTAGTAAGGCGCATAATGTATCCAGTTGGATTGTCTAATGACAATATCATCAGAACGCATCCTATTTAAATAAATGTTTAGTAACAAAACATGGTAATAATAAAAGATTCTTTGGCATACCTGCATGAACATAACCTATCGTTTCTAGCTTTTGGACACTATGAGACCTCCACTTTACCCTGCTGCAGAGCCCAATGAGCATATCACGAAGCATCTTTGGTAATTTTAACCCACATTCTATGAGCCATTCTTGCCCTAATAACGCTTCCCTACTTCTGGCCCTCCGAATTCTAATATCTGACCATTAGTATTCTTTCTAATAATTGCATCTGCATGTCGTCCGTATGCTTTTCTATCTTTACGTTTTCGTTTTCTGTCACTGCTAGCAACGCTACAGAACTCTCCTCTATATTGACGATAATGTAACTTAAATAATGAAAAAATATAATAATAGCAAGTAGAGTAAATTATTACCTGACGACATTGACCCATGCTATATCCCCAAAGGCCTTGTCAATAATTGGTCCCTACAAATTAACATTATACCAATTTTCAAGATGATCCACACTAAATGCGTTGGGCTGTCTTTCGTAAAGTATTACTCTGTCAAAAAATAAAACCAAAAGCTTAGTACCGTATCCATATATATGCATGCACCTTATAAAATAGCAATGCTTACAGGCTATGTATGACATAAACTATTGTGTCGATTATAAAGCTCTTTTCTGGACGTGTTGAAAATTGTGCTATTACTTTACGAATATCATTTATATTTGTCTATAAAAATAACAGTTAGTATATTTGTCAATAAAATTGTTATCAAAGATAGACAACCTTGTTAAATGTATTAAGGCAATCTTTGACATCATTGTCAAGTTTTGGATCATCTTTAACATTTGTAGACCTGATTTCTTCTTTTTCATCGTTAGTAAAAAGTTCAATAAGTTGCTGGTCATCTGTATCTATAATGAACGAATGAGACATGCTGTTTTTAAGACATTATACAGATATATTATTTATGAGAATACATAAAATCTGCAATGAATTTACAAATTTATATGAAGCTATAGCTTACTTTTCAAAATCACTTAAACAACCAAACTCATAAAGAACATCCTCTACATATTGTTCAGACTTGAGCTTCTATTTTAATTCATTGTCCATTTTATTATATATCTTTTTATATTCTGCCTTTAATGCTTCTGTTAGTCGTTGCCCGCTGATTTTATAAATAGTTTCTTTTATATTCTTATCATTATTCTGATCCTCAAAGTCACTATCATTTTGTTTATTCTCATTCATAGTATGTTGTCGTTCTTGTTGTTGAATTTTGAAGAAAACTTCCATTAATAAAACTGGTATAACATCAGAATTCTCTTCTTCAAATGTCTCATTTTCACTTCTTACAGATCTTATGATATTTGGAATGAAAGATATAATTAAAAAATAGTCAAAAAACTAAAAAAATTTTTACTGATTATACTTTAAATTATACAATTACCTTCGTTATTGGAGTTGCCTCTATTGTTTCTGTTGACAATACTTGGCAAGCCACATGTTCCTATGTTATTTAATAATTATCACTAAGTTCATAAATAATGCATAAATATTGTAAACTTCTTTTCTTAACTTATTATGTTATATTAACCTTTTCTATATCATTCCAAAGCGTTTGAACTTCAACATATTTTTCACGGTGGTTCTTAAGTAGTAAAAAAAAAAATTTAAAAATTAAAAATAGCGATCGGTCACTCAATGGATACGAGTTATGCCTATAAGAATCTTAAAATACAGTATACAACTTCTCTGTTGTATACCCCTATTTAGCGCAAAAGACAATATATTAATGCCTAATGTTAACTAATAGGCACATAACTTATATGTGGTTATGTACATAAGAAAAAATCTTATGATATACGATTTCGAAAAGCAGGGCGTACAATAAACTTTCTAGTCGCATAATCACGTTTAGTGCAATGTCTTATGCCAACCAACGGACACATAACAGGTACATAGTTATGCATAATTCTTATAGTATACGATTTCAAAGAGCAGGGCATACAATAAACTCTTCATCACATAGTCTTATTAACGCAAAAAAAAACAAAGATATATTCCAGTTATGCACATAAGAATGGTATAAGATTTCAAAGAGCAGGGCGTACAATAAACTCTTAGTCTCATAATCCCATTTAATGCAAAGAATACATCAATGTCTAATGCCGAATAATGGACACATAATTCATAAAGTGAACGTTATTACGAATCACTACCTTGAAAATTTTTAATAACTCGATTGCGGCCGTCTTGATTTCTGTTGAATCATTTTTTACAGCTGTTTTGAGATCTTTCTTGAGGTTTAAGGACTCTTTTCTAAGCGAGCATACGAAATCAGGCTGTTGTAAACGGTACTTATAAAAGCCAAAAAAACTATAATCTTTGGGTAATGTTTCTAAAAAATACATTGTTAGAACTAAAGAAAAAATATAAACTTTATTTGACATTTATAGACGTGTTTTCATGTAAACAACAATCATGTGATTGTTGGTAGCTCTCACATCTTACAGAAAGTCCTTATGTCAAGGAAATTCCGAGCTGCCGGCCAAAAAAATATGGATCGTAGTATCTCAAAAATTCACTATATATCTAACGTTAACAATTGTGTTTTATAAGTAAAATTTCATTCTGAAAACTTTTACTTAGTGGCCGGAAGTTAGGTATCATAGTAAATTTTTGTGTTATTTATGTTTTTTACAATTTCTTATGTTTTTCACGTTTGTTTTGTTACACAAGATCCTGTGATTTTATTGGATCCGGATAGGGTCGGAAG